TCTTTATCAAGCAAATCTCAATGTCATTTTACAAAATATGGTAAGGTTTTACTAAGTAATACTGCCTTATCTAAACTTTACATATTATTTATAAATACATAAATGTTTTACATTTTCTATAAGTTATATAATTAATAATATATTACTTATACTATAAATACTGTAACTGATATTATAAGTTATAATATAAGATTTTAAATGAAAATATGTTTAAGTTATTTATATTATGAGTTATTTGAAAATAGTAGTAAGTAATAACAAAAATTATTAGGTGTTTAACTTTATTTCTTTGTAATAATAAACAAAATTATCACATTTTGTTTGGATATATTTATTTATTAAATACATTTTTTAAATTCTTTACAATATAAAAGTATATAAATTTTGATAGCAAAATTCAGACATGTGTTTAAAAAACAATTTGGCTAGTCTAAAAAAGGGAAATGTTGAGCTTTAAGGTTTTAAGATGTTTTTAATTAATTATCACAGGGTGTTATATAACTTTTTTAGAATATGTTGTGAAATAAATTAAATATACAATCATAAAATGCTACTCAAGTGCAATATAAAATTGAAAATGTAGTTTTGATACTAAATATTGGAAAAACTGAATGATTGAATAATCATAAATGTTTTGTATTTATGACTTACTATAGTAAGTCAATTTTCATTGTGTTATTATATATCATATAGTCATATATAATATGTTTATTTACAAAGTTATAAAAAAGATATCAAACTTTTTTGATAATACATTATTTGGTTATGGTTTTTTGTTTTTGTAAAAAACTTTATTAAATTTATTTAAGAGATTTAAAAGTATGTTTTGTTTTTAGAGTTAGTTTGTGTTCATTTATGCTTAATAACAGAAAATACATTATTGCAACAAATGATTGTTTTTTCACATAAAAGTTATGAATATATATGGTAAAAAACTAAAATTAAAAGTTACATATACAGTAGTGTGACATGATTTGGAATGAGTATACATTTGAAGGATTTTTCACGTAACCTTCATTTGGTACCTCAATGGTAGTTTGTTTTCATTGTGACAATGGCATCAATACATGCTGCCATTGTCACAATTGAGTAAAGTTTAAAAGCTATCTATGTGTAATGATTTTTTAAACCAATTTATTATGATGATGTATATTTCTAAGGGTTTGATGTCATGTTAACTTGAGTCAAGAGTTTAAATTTTAAATGGTAACATAGTAGCCATGTTATATTATTGTTGTTTACAAGTCTATTTATGTCATGCCTAATTGATAACATCAAACATTTACCATAAAATAACATTTTTTAGATTCCCTGCAGGGTGCCTGTTAAAAAGAAAAACTGAAGAAACTTTAAAACTAGAAGATGGAATTGAAGAAGTTGAAACACCGTTTTTCATGGTGTCATATTGAGGCTTCAGTTCTCCAGTATTTATATTCGTATTTTATTATTTATGTTATGTTTATTTTATTTTTTATTTTTGTTATTTTTGTAACAACAAACTATAAGAATAGGTAATTGTCCTGCCATGGGCCTCTACTTCAATCTGGCTATGGTTATCTTAGTTATAATACGTGTATCGATTTATATACTGTATTGAGTTAGATTGTGATTTGTATGTGTGTTTTTGTTTGCCTAGTGTTATATGCAAGATATGGCATGGTATGGCACACTGCTTGATATGCCCTAAATAGTATTATCAATAAATATTTTTATCTATATTTTGTAAATAAATAAGCTACAAATTATTATATTTAAATATTTATTTTTAATTTATAAAATTACTGTAAAAGTGGAGGAAAGCACTAAAGAAGCGAAACGATAAGCTTTGAAGCAGAATTTTGTCATGCGATTATGGTGACGATATTAGGGAACTACTGTTGCAGTATTTTACTATCGTTGAACAGTTTTGCATTATTTATGTATAATATATATGTATAATATTAGTTTTTTAAAACTCTCTAATTTTTAATCATCTATTTTAAAGCTTTATTTAAAATTTTTTTTTAATTGATTTTTTCGCTCAAAGTCTTTATAATATACCGCTAAAGGAACTATTTAACGGAAATAAAACATTACATCATTATCAACCAATAGGACGATGGTTCGCAAAAAAGTTCGCACTTTACCAATTCGCAGTTCGCGGTTCATTTTGCCTAATATTTTTAATTGCGTATGAAGTTTTGAAACAATATTATTTGATAATTTTTGCTAAAAGTGATTGTTTAACTTTAAATTATGATAATTACGCGGTGTTTAATAAAAAATTATGTTACTTATGTTAAGACTGTTCCTTAAGAAATAATATATTTTAATTTGTTTGCTTTTTTTTTAAATGTCTATTATTTTAATTAAGTTATAATTTTTTAATTAAAGTTTTAGTTATTAAAACAAAATACTCCTTCGAAAAGTAATACAATCTTTTTTACTGCTTCCAATATTAAAATAAATGCTTTTAAAATAGGTTGTAATAATCTTATTACCAAATCATTTATTGCTACAGAACTATATTTTGTATGAACCAAAGTAGTTAACACGCTCATGTTTTTTATTTTTTGAATTTTTATAAGTTTTTATATATATTGCTAAAAACTAGTAACATTGTGTTCTGATTTTACTTAGAAACTTTTTTTATTCAATTATTTAATTTTATTACCAAAAATATATCTTTCATGAAGTTTTTAATGAAACATAATTTGTGTAGACGATGATATTTCCTACAGATAAAAAAGACACATTTGGTTTTCGTCATTTGAACGTTCAAAAGACGTTTTATCCGGGCCAAACGCCTAGTGGGAAGCTTTAAACCAGTTCGAACCTTAGGTCTCTTAATAAGAATCTGAGTTTAAATTGCATCAAAGAAACTATTAGTCTTTATTTTTGCTCGATGTAATTAAGAATTAAAGTGTTAATTATTGCAATATATGTGACTAGTATACTCATTTTTTTTCTTACTACGTTCTTTCTGAATTTTCTAGTGATATCAGAAATTTACTTTATAAATAATAAAATTTCAATAAACTCAAAATGTATTTAAAAATTGTAAAACAAAAAAAAACTCAACAAAAAAGTGATAATATTGTATTATCTTGTTATTTATTCAAACATGTTTCTTCTATCACTTTTTAAACAAATTATTTCATCAAAGTTAAACAATTTTGCAGAACCGGAAACAAAGCTTTCGGCGAAAAAACAGACTTTTTTCAGAAAAAAATACTAAATTTTTAAATAGTAAATTTTACATAAAAAAAAAATTAAAGGCTTTGTATTCGTCTAAATATATAGGTCTTGTTTTCCTAATTTCCAAGTAAAAATTAAAACTTTTTCGATTCTTTTTGTATACACATTTAAAAGTCCTCGATCTCAATAATCTTAAACTTTTATTTGCAGGACTTGGTCAAAACATCAATATTTTTTTTCAAAACAAAAGAACAACGTTCTGACTGAATTAAGCGCAATTTTTTTTTTTACAAAATAAAATGTATTGTATTTAACATTTTAAACTTTTAAAGTTTCACTATTTGGCAATTTGCTGATCCACAGATATTACAACAACCTATATATAAAGATTGCTGTGCAAATTGTCGTATAAGAACCGGAGCAATAATCATAATGGAATGCTTCGTCTTTAGCTGTCATTTTAACGCCGAACGATTCTTTACGTTGATATGTCATATTGGTTGCTCTGATGTCGAAAACTCAATTTGTCATACGTATGTTAATATCATGAGCCTTCTGTATGTATTCGTTTTCTTGTAAATACTATTTTTATGTTGTTTAATCAAAATTGTGAAAGTTTGGTGTTTTTTATGTCTTTGAGCTTCTTGGTTATGATTGCGATTGGCACAGCGGATTTGATATCCAGTTGTCGAATAACTCTTGTGCCACTATTTTGTTTGCGTCATTATATGAGAGCATCATCCGATTAGGCCTCACTGAACACAGGGGTAACGTCCATCTAATTAAATAGGCTCCAATTTGCAACTTGAATTTACTGATAAACGTTGCTTCTTCTCAGTAAATTACCTCAACGTTTTGCGTACTAGGGTCTCGCTACTCGTTTTTACTGAACTATTAGTGTTTTTCAACATAGTGAATCTAAGTGCGTCGATACCTCAAATAAACAATCAACACTAAAATAATGGACTTTTAAAACCAAAATTAACGTGCTTCGGGTCACGTAAGCATTAGATTTGGTCACTTAGATGATTATTTATTTTAAATTGAACGTGCTTGTGGTCATGTAGAGGCGCAGGTACATATACCTATGAAGATATACATCTATATTTGAAAATATCTACAAATGCTACCTGCCATATTTACAATAAGAACACGTAACAATTGTTTCCGACCTAAAGCGTAATATTTTGATCCAACACCCACGTAAAATATATGAAACTATGAATTACATACATACATTTTTTTTTTTGGGGGTAGGGGGTAGGGTGAAGTTATTTTTCACCAATTTTTGGCAGTTATTTTGGATAAAAAGCAAACTTCTAATCAAAATTGCTATTGCTGGCTAAAATTTCTTCTGGTTTGAACTATGCGTCACATTTCGCCTCAGAAACAGGTTGTTATTGAAAAACTTTCAGATTTACCCTATACATAAGATATGAGCGGAATTTTTTCGAGTTAATTTGGAATCAATACTTAGGTTATTAAACCGTGCTACACCTATCCCTATTTTTTTGTTTATTTGATAATTGATTAGTCATTTATAATTTGCGATTTAACCTATATCTCATTTGATAATTGATTTGTATAAATAGAGTGATTATTAAAAGTATTACAACTGTAATTTTTGAACACACGTAACTAATGAATTCAGGCTACAAACAGATATAACGGAATTTAGCAAAAGGAATTTTCATGTTTGGAAAATATCTGTAATAAAATAAAAGTTGTTAACCTTTTTTTTCCTTCTTGTTTTGGAGTTGATTACCTATTCCAGAAGAAGTCCTAGATTTCATAAAACTTTGAAGAAGAAATGTTCAAAGTACCTTTCTTGCAAACGTCACATTGAAAAGGTCTTTCAGTACCATGGCTTAGCAGATGTCTATTTAAATGACTTGGAGCGTGAAAACGTTGTTTGCACTTTTCACATTCAAATCGCAACGGGCGCCCTCCGTACGGTCGTTCTGGAAAAAAAAAATCTGTTTACAAATTTTTATCGTATTATTTTAAGGTGAGTTTCCACTCATCCGTTTTTTCACGGGAACGGAATAGGAAAGGCAAAAATAATCACGTGAGCATGCGTAGTTTTCCTTCTGACATATTAAAACTTATACTACGCATGCCCAGGTGATTATTTTTCCCGTCCCTTTCCCGTTCCCGTAAAAAAGCGGATGAATGTAAACTCGCCTTTATATATATACATGACCATCGGCAATCATTAGCCGTATCTATTATTTAAATCTAGAATATATATATATATACAAATATATATATATATATATATATATATATATATATATATATATATATATATATATATATATATATATATATATATATATTTATAATTGTTTTTTGTTTTTTTTGACGAGGTTAAATAAAAAATAACTACATAATTTTTTTTTTAATTTTTTAGTAGCAAAAATTATGTAGTTATTTTTTATTTAACCTCGTCAAAAAAAACAATTATACAGTTCTGATAGCATTCATCGAGCACTCTTGCTGAATATATGCTCACAGCAAAATTAAACTTATATATAAATATATAAATATATATATATATATATATATATATATATATATATATATATATATATATATATATATATATATATATATATATATATATATATATATATATACATTATAATTTCTAAAAGTTAAAGTAAAGTTGTACAAACATTTTAAATAACTAAATCATAATATATTTCCATGTCAACAAACGTCATAAACAACACACCCTTCCTTTACATTTTTAACAAATTGAAAAAAAGTTAAAGATCTCACGTTTAAAATTTTTTTGATCATTTGAACTCAATGCTTCAGAAGTTGACCGGATAACAGGAACATGGTAATTTATCAAGTTTTTGCCTAAAGTTGACATTACACTTTTAATGGAGATCTCACTAAAAATGAAGAATTAAACACAATTATATATAGTAAAATAAAAGATAAAGATAAAGGAAAAAAAATGATTATAAATAATCATTTAAACTTTATTTTTAAAAATTTTATATTTTAAGGGCAAAAAAGATTTTAACAGTATTTATTATTAAAGCGTTTTTACTATTATTTTTATTATTATTATTATCATCAATATATATAATAATATTATATACATAACATATTTATTATCATTATTATTATTACTATTATTATTATTATTATTATTATTGCTATTATTATTATATATAAATATAAATAATAATACTATATATAAATATATATGTTCTACATTGTAAATTTTTAGATTATATAGTCATAAAAAATTGGTTTCAAATGCAGTATTTATTATATGTATAAATTATATGTAAGAACTAAATTAATTTACATATAAAAAAAACCTTTGACGTCCGCACTAATCCGTTTTTTAAATAAAGATAAAAAGGCGTAAAAATTTTTTTGTATTTTTGTTCATTGTTCTTTTATCTTGTTTTGTTATTTTTAGTAATGATATTTGCGTTTATTACAACACTTTTATAGACTATTTTCAGACACTATTTTTTTTTAAGCTGACATTAGCTGATTTTTTCAGACACTATTTTTTTTAAGCTGACATTAGCTGATGTTTTCAGACACTATTTTCTTTAAGCAGATATTAACTGATTTTGTTTGTTCATGTAAATATTTTTTTTTGTTTGCTTATATTTAGCTTTTATTTGCCATCTTAAAATCTTTGTTCTAAACAAATTTTTAATGAAGTGTGATTAATAATTTTAGATACATTAATTTAGGTTAATAATATTTATTATCATTATTTTTTTGACTTTTTTATTTTTTTACTCCAGACACTTTGTCAAGTAAAAAAATAGAAAAGTCAAAAAAATAACTTTTGTAAGTTTACAAATGATGCATTGATATCTTATCCTAATTGGTTTCACTGTATTTGAAATAGTATTAAACAACAAATGGATTGTTTTTTTTTTGTTTTTTTTGTAAACAATGAATTTATATTCGAGATTTTGGTAGGCAGGTTTCCTGACCAGGATAACAATATAAGTTAAAATTATAAGTGTTGTAGGCACAGCTGCTTCTAGCATCTATAGTGGTTTGATTATGCGTATCAAGCAGTGATACTAATTTGCTTTACATTTTCAAGTAGCGATAGAAAATAATCAGTACAAGACTGTACTGCAGCTAACTGATTCTACAACTATAGGAGTGATTTGCTAACAGTGATCAAATAATATTTATAATAGGAGTTGTTCAATGCTATGCTACAAAACACTGAATGATTTGTAGCTAGTATTTTTACTAATCCCATTACTTTTTGGGCCTGTTTAATTTACAAACATTTAACCTGTTGAAAAATTGCAGAAAATTTTTAAAATGTTAAATATCTAACATTTAATCTATTGAAACATTGTAATCAAGTTTTTATAAAACCCAAGATTATGACTAGAGTCATTTATTTAAATTTTTTGATCCTTTAAACGTAGTAATGTTTCAATAAATAAATTGCTTTAAATTAAAAATTTTTAAATAATAACAATACAAAAGATCTTTATTTAAAACTAATTAAAAATTTTATTTAAAACACTTTCTGACAAAAAATTTCCCGAAAATATAAATTTTTATGCCCTCTTATTTAATTCAAACTCACATAAGAATTCCTTATGTTTAATTGGACACCATGTTTAATTGAATACCATATTTTGTTGGACACCATATTTAACAAATGATATTCAAGTTTGAAAGTATTTTAAAAGCAGGGGCAGATTCAGACCATCTAGTAAGTGGAGGGGCTGGCAGTTTCAGGGTTTTTTTGATTTGGCGATCTATCCATCTAGTATAGGTTGGGGAAGGGCCACATTTTATGATTCAATGATTTTTTTAGCAGGCAAGTCCACAAATCATAAAACCTTTTTAGTTAATTTATGTAATTATGAAACTATGTTGTATATTGGTATCCCAACAATACAATTAAAATTTGCACTACACAGTTTTATTACTAATAAAATTTAATATTACTTTTACAAAAATAATTATTTCCAGAGGGTGGACGTGTGGGTCATGGGAATATTAGGGAGGGAAGGGCAATTTCAACATGTCTTTTACCCTCCCCCTTCCCATCCATGGAACTGCCCTCGTTTAGAAGGAAGAGTTTTGTACCTAAACTTAATTGGTATAGACCAAACATGCTTGTGTTATATATTAGAGATGAGATAATTTAACTGATTTAATTTATTCATTTTATAAACTGAAAAGCCAATGTATGTCTCACAACTCCTACACTGGTTTTAATTAAAAATATAAAAACATTAAACCTAATTAAATCCTTTGAGACGATAACACAGGCTATGAGAAATAAACTCTGGCTTAAAATTTCCCTGCTTTGGGGCTTTAAGTTAAGTAAAAGCTAGAGATGGTGTCTTGATAAAAATACACACCTTGGACAGATAATAAATGCAACCAGCAACAGTCTTGCAGAGGACCTCCTAGCCAAAGACTTAAGAGTAAAGAGTTAAGACTTAAAGAGGTAAGCATAATAACTCTGTTAACCAGCATCATATTTCTCCTTCATTTAGACAGGCGTAGATATAAACCTGTGTTACATTGTTTCTTGCCAATAGGATATATGCTGGATTTTCTACTCATAGATTTTTACTTGTGTTGCATGGTTATCGAAATAACTTTTCATCAGTTGAATCTTACCTTTTGCAAAATTCACCATACTTACTTGTTCTTTGTGAGACTAATTTAAATTTTGTTGTTTCTTCTTTGGACTTTAGTATTAATTGGTATTATCCTCTGATTTGAAAAAACTTTAATAGTCAAAAACTTATGCGCTTATTCACCTATTTATTAAAAAATCAGGTTTGAATCCTCTGACTATTCTTTTATGTGCTTCCGCGTCTTTTTACTCAACCATCTTTCTCTTTTTTATTTGTCTTTCTCCTTTTTCTTAAGACTTGCACTTTTTTAGATGTAATTTTGGATCAAATTGAGTAAACCTTTTTTCTTTATTTTCCTCTGCCAACATTATTGTTAATGGGGACTTTAATACTCACCAAACTAAATGGCTTGATAAAAACACCACTGACCCTGATGGCTCTAAAGCTCATAGCTTCTGTATTTTTCAATCTCTTACTCATAACTTTATAATTTGTTTTTTAGATAAACCTAATTACTTATCTTTACTTTTTGATTTGTGTCTTGTCTCTGATCTTAGCTTGTGTCCAGTTTCTACTTGTTCTCCTTTAGGTGGTTCCCATCAATGAATTCTATGAATTTTTATCTCTCACTTCTTCTTTAGAGACACTCTATCATCGCACTACCTTTAGAGACACTCTATCATCGCACTACCTTTAGAGACACTCTATCATCGCACTTGTTACTACTACCATAAAACTAAAAAACTCACTTTTTGTCTTCGTGACAAATATTGGGTTGATGTCTATTGTCTTTTCGCTGATAAATGCGCCTCCTTCCTAGCCGCATGGATCCAGGCAGGTATGAAAGCTTTTTTTGCTTCTAGTTAGTTTGAAATCAAGACTCATTCTTAGACCCAATGTTAGACATCCTAATGAGGCTAACATTGCGAGTCATTTTTCAATTTTTCTTCGGTATTTGGTTTAGATAAAATTCCTGTCACACTCTTATAAATTGTTCTCCAGAATTCTTCTCAATTCCTTCGAAACTATTTAATAAGTGCTGAACCGAATATTATTTTTCTGCCAGCTAGAAGATAGCATCTGTGGTTGCAGTTCTTAAAAACTCTGGAGAACACTCTCAACAATCAATCTATAGTCAAATCAGTATTTTCTCTATCATTAGCAAGATCTTTTAGCCTTTAATTGAAAAATTGCTAACATCCATCTTGAGTCTAATAGCTTACGCAATCAGGTTTCCAATCTTCTCGTTTTGCAGCTGACTGCTTTCACTGAAAGATTTTATTGTGCATCATACGGAAATTGACATATCGAAAGCTTCGATAAAGTTTGACATGCTGGTCTTCTCCATAAGTTTGCTTGATATAGAATATCTGGAAAATTTTTTTGAGTTTATTAATTTATCCTTTTTTGAGTTTTTTATTATTTAACTTTTTTTTTTCTAACCGCAATATTTAAGTCATCCTTGATGGCCAACAATCTTCTTCATTTCAAGTAAGTTCTTGGGTACTTTAAAATTCTAACCTTAATGATCTTTTTGACAATCTTACATTTAGTTTTTAATCTTCAAAACAATCACCACAATCACAGGACAACCTTGCATGTAAATTTGTTTTCCAAATTTATTGTAGAGTTGTAACAAAGCAGTTAGATTTACTAAATAAAATAAATGTACTAGCTTAAATTATTCGTTAGACTTAATTAAATATCAATTTATTGTTGAATTATTACTATCTAATAAATATTTAATCAGTATTTTTGACTTATTATTCTGTATTCTGACTTACGGATTAAAATTGTTTATTGACCTTAAGAGGATGTTTGGCTTTTATGGCAGAAATTTCAAATAAAACTGAAAGTTGGATGCTCAAAGGTATTAAATAATACCTCTGATGCTAATATCATCAAAGGTATTATTTAATGCTTAGATAGTGGTATCTTTGTATTTTTATTTTCTTTAACTGCAAAGATTATTGCTTTGGATCAATAAAATGCGCCATTAAATACTCAGGTACTATAAGGAAGTGTAAGTAAATACTCATGTACTATACAATCAGGTAGACGTTGTTGAAATCCTCCTGGTTTAAGGTTTAAGCTTTAGTTTTATTCTTCATGTAAAAAAAGTTTTTCATTTTTTCCTAAGATTATAAATTTTGAATAGCATGTTGATTTGTCAGAAGAAAAAAATTTAGTTGATCGTTGTTGATTTGTCAGAACATAAAAGTTGAGTTGATCATTGTTGATTTGTCAGAACATAAAAGTTGCAGTATTTTACCTATTGGATTAAGACCATAATAGATATATGTTGAGCAAGGCTTTGGTGATGGAGTCTAAGTCGGAGTCACGTAGTAGGAGTCGTGGAGTCGCGACATTTGTAGCGCAATCGGAGTCGGAGTCGCTAAACAAAATTGCGACTCCAACTTCAGTAGTAAAATTTCTATGTATTGCGCGTGCATGTACAAAATATTTAACCTTCAAAGAATTTTTTCATATTTTTGGGAAAAAAAATTTTTTTTTTAATCATTGCGTAATATTTTTGTAAGAGTTCAATGAATTTTTTAAAAATTTTGCTTCGGAGTCGGAGTTGAAGTCGGAGTCAAAGTCGTACTCTGGAAATTTCAACAATTGGAGTCGGAGTCGCAGTTGGTAATTTTTTTTTACGACTGTACATCCTTGGTATTGAGGAGATGCAAGCGAAATTTTAGAATACCAGCATTCAAAGCTATACTCTAACAGCCGGATGATGAAAGTTGAAAAACCTAATTGTTTTACGATTGTTTATTAGTTAAAGTAAACGAGACAAATATTCGTTAAGCGATTACGCTCGTTTAAGGAATATTCGTTAAACACCTATTTGGTGAAAGAGTATTATTCGTTCATTAACCATTTAATGATTAAAGTAAAATTCGTTTAGTAATCGTTTAACGTTTAAAATGAAAATATTCGTTGTCGTTCAAGAAATAATTGTTAAAATATTGGTTTATCGAATATTTATCCCACTCTTCTCAGTAGTTGCATGAACTAAAGCAGTAATTAAGTAAGCTAAATAGCTATTAGGTTTCTAAAAAAATTTAGTTGATAAACTCGATTAAATTTTTATGTCATTGGTAAACATCCGTAAAGTCGACTTACTTTTGCTAAGTTTTACGGATGTTGAGTAGAGTGTCTGAATATATATTCTTTAGCGTGGCTATTTTATCAACACAAACATAAATTACATAAAAAAAGAAAGGAAATTTCCGTTAAATTTTAATTCAAGATAAACCAACATCCCAAGAAAAAACGTTCAATAAAATTTTTATAAACTTTTAAAACTATAAAATATATAAAATATAAAATATTTTTGGACTAATAAAAGAATTTCTATATATTTGACTTTTTTTTCAGCATATATATATATATATATATATATATATATATATATATATATATATATATATATATATATATATATATATATATATATATATATATATATATATATATATATATATATATATATAATTAATTCAAACTTGTCGCAAACCAGCTAAACTTTCAGTTGAATATAATATAAAATATATTGCGTGGGTATTTTACACCCCTGTAATTGTTACAATAGCAGTTTTAATTATAGAAATTTACTTCTGTTATCAACCAAAATCTGTCCCATGGGGATATTTATTTAACAATTTCTATCTACGATTAGTATTTTACTAGAAAAAACTAATTTTCCCTTTCTCAGACTGAGTTTGAATATGTTAAACAAAATTTATTTTAAACAACACCATTTAACAGTTAGTGTTAATGACCATTTAGACTATATTGTGAAGCATTTGCTAGTTGCCATTGAAGTTTCACGTAATATTATCGAAAATTTTCTTGGTGCAATCAAACATCCAGCTTCGTTCCTTTAAACATTTAGACATTATTATAAAAAACTTGCCCAGTTTTGTTAAACAATTTAGACATAATTGCGGAACATTCGTTCATTTACATCGAACATTCAGATAACAAACAGACTTTCGGTAGCACAAAAAATAATTTTTATAATTCAGTGAGACTGCAATGATGAAAAAAAAAACATTACGAGCTAGATTGTTACTTTTAAAGCTCCTAATGTAAACGTATTATAATACAGAATGATGATAGATTGGATACTGAAGCAAAGTTATAAAACTTAATCTAAATCGAAAACGTAAAAATCAGACTTTTGCAAAAGTCGTAAGGATAAAAACCTCAACAGAAAAAACAACAAATTAAACATAATTGTTTCCAAGTTTTAATGATATTTGCAGTATTTGTGAATATAATGCGAATCATTGTAATGCAATTAACCAATACAAAAATTTTTTATAAAAACATTTTCAAAGAACATGTTTCAAACCAAAGCTATCTTCCAAATGATGCTAGTTTAACAAAAATGAAGATCGCTCTTACTATTACTATTATTAAAATAAAAAGCGCTTTTTATAAAACAAAGCTAAATCGTCAAAAATTAAATATTTTTGAATATAAGTAAAGTTAAAGCGTCAAAGTTAAAAAATTAAAAAAAAAAGAAAAAAGTCTGAAATCGTGAACAGTCTAAAGAATGTATAATCTTTCCTCTGACCTTAAAAAGATTATTATACCCAAAATAAAATTCCGAAAGGCATGTATTAAACGACGGATCATGTTTGTATGCATTACACAATGGATCATGTTTGTATATATCTTTAGACTGTTCACGATTTCAGATGTTTTGAAGTGACTTTGCAGTTTTGATGTTAAAGATGCTATCACATATCATGTGGACTAACCGTTTTTAAATAGATTTTCTAATTCAAAATCTATTTTGAACAAATCAACTAATCGGTTTAAACAAATCAGTTTAATCAGTTTTTAAATCTATGTTAAACAAATCGACTTATAGATTTTAAATAAATCAATTAATTAATCAACTAGCTGGCATAACAATAGTTTTCATTACAAGTACAACAAACTCAAATAACTAACTTAATCAATTAACTAGTTATCAACTATCAATTAAATTAATCGACTTTTCGATTTTAAATAAATCAGTTAATTAATTAATTAGCTGACATACATGCAAACCCTTACAATTTTTTAAATTTTCTAAGAGTTTGATTGTTGTTTAATTAAATTTAAAAAAAATTAATTAGATTTAAGGTATTAGGTGTTTAATAATTAAAGTGTTTTAATACAAAAATTTAATACAAAAGTCTTATTGTAGCAACTTTTGGTTTATAATGATTGGAACCTGAAACTCGCTTCAATACAATTTATATATGCTTTCATTCTTATTGAAATTATTTACAGTTTTTTATCATATTATTATCAAATTAGTATAAGGCACATACATAGAGCTTGGGTATGAAACTACATCTAGTTTTATGCTAAGCAACAAAACTCTATCTACGTTTAAAACACCCAAATTCATAAATACAATATTTTATAAAGTATATATAATAAAATTGTTCAAGTTGTTCAAATATGTTTTTAAGTATGCATGGTATTTATTTTAATTAGATGTTTACTAGTTGACTCTCAGGCAGACAGTTACATTTTTGTCACCAAAAAGACCACTTTTGTAGTTTTCATAGTTAGTACTTGATAACAAGAGCGTAAAACTTACAAAAAATAAATAAAGAATTAAAAACACTAAAATAATTTAATTAGTAATATGTTAAAAATACATTTAGTAAATAAAAAATAGTATATATTAGAGGGGAAAGACTGAAAGAATATGAAAACAATTTAATTGTAAGGTAAAAGTTTGCGATATCGGTGCGACAACTTCCAATTAAATGCTCATCCGCGGTACATCTTGGAGCGGTAAGCTCTCCTCTATTCCGATAGTCTCCTTTAAGTCCGAAAACATGAAAAAGGTTAATCTTTCAATTCAAGATAACATGCCCAAATCCAAACTCTCAGTCGATGTATGCACACTCACTGTGCCTATGGCTATACAAATCAGTCGATGTATGCACACTGCGATGCGCCTATCCCTATATATCCCAATTTGCCTATCCCCTAAAAATCCTGGTTTTTGGACGTCAATGATGCTCAACGTCGGAATAGAGGTTTGAAAAGTGAGACAACCTCTAAAGGCACCTAAATAGAATTAAAAAAAAAAGTTTAACTAACAAAAGTGTGTGCGTTTTGGAATAGGCGTTTTCTGTTCAATTTCGAGAAATAACTTTTTAAAAGCGTCAGAGCATTCAAATTCACTTATATGTGGTAAGAGTACTTTTAAAAACGTTAAAGAATGTAGAGATACAAATATATTTAATCAGCACTAAAGCAGGCATATATATAAATATATAAAAATAAGTTTTAAGGTGTAGAAAATATGCCATATATCTGATCGTATATCTAGATGTATATTGCATGTTTACAACTATTATGTTTTATCAAAAGGTGCATGTTAAAAGTATATAGATTATCATCAATTGTGATGACACGATTCGTCATATATGAAATAAAACTTGCTTCCTAATCTTAAAGTAGGAACGACACTAAGTGTCGTAAAAGTCTTTTACTTTACCTTTCGGAAAAAGATCGTTTTTCTCGTTTGACTCGTTCACATTCCCTTAACATTTAAATAAAAATGTTGCGCTTATAGTACTGAGGCGCAAAACCTTGTTCAAATGTTGTAGTTTTTAATATCGTAGAACTTAAAATTTTAGATTTAGTATTAAATTTATTTAATCATAAAATAATTAAAATCTAAGTCGCTATGGAGGCCATTCATCGAGAAATTCTTCGAAAAAATCGTATGAGTTTAAGCCATAGCAATATGAACACTGAAGAAGTTTGTACATGTTTAATTAGAGATAATGTATTCACTATAAATGACAAATATAGCGTTGAAAGTTACTCATCTCCTGTCAAGAAGATTGAGAAATTATTAGATATTCTTTCTCATAAAGGTGCTAACGCTTTTTCTACTTTTACAAAGGTTCTTAATGAGTTGAAGCTATTTCATCTAAGTAAACTAATTTCAACGGACAAAAATGCTAATATAACAAATCAAAGCAGACAGTCTGAAGAAAGTAAGTGTTTAAAAAAAGTTTATATATATATATATATATATATATATATATATATATATATATATATATATATATATATATATATATATATATATATATATATATATATATATATATATATATATACACATATATTTAAAGAAAAACACGATAGTTTATAATCCTGACATGTTTCGTAGTTAACATACTACATTTTCAAAAGATAAAGTTACAATTTAAAACTCTGGATATAAATATAAAATCAAAATTAAAAGACATTACAGAGAAATATTAACAGACAAATAGAATTGTTACAAATCAATAAATCAATTATAATTCAAATTATGATACCATAAAATACCATTTTGCTAGGATTTGATAAGGACATAGAGAATCTATCTAATGTTTAAAAAAATAACCATTATCCACCTAAAATAATAGACACTGAAATTAAATTACTTGTTGATTGTTGAAAATAGTATTGATAATAAAGGATAATACAAATTTTTATTTTTAGGATTTTACTCAAATTTTGCTAAATCTAAAGTTAATAAAATCATTAAAAAGTACTGTAAAGATGCTATAACTAATTTGATTTTCACTACTAACAAATTACAAAACAGTTTATGTATAAAAGATCTACTTTCTAAGCTGCTCAAATCCAATGTTGTTAACAATTTTTTTTGTGCTAGATGTAATGCCAGTTATATTGGAGAAACCTCAAGACACTTAACAACAAGGATTCATTAGCATCTTACAAATGACAAATAATCTAATGTTTATAAGCATTTAATTTAATCTGTTAATTGTAAATATCTAAGTAACTATAATTGTTTAAAATTTTGGATACTGCTTCTAACAAAAACAAGTTTAAAGGTAAAGAAGCACTCCATATTAAATGGGAAAACCCATCTTTAAATAAACAAACTGTTCATTTTAATATAAATTTGTCAATCTAGTTTTTTTTTTTTTAATTTACTAAACATTTTTGTAGTTGTTGCTATTTTTGGTATTATAATTTGTATTATAATTTTTATTGGTTTGTAACAGTTCTTTCTGTCTGTTATAATTTCTCTGTAATGTCTTCAAATTATAATTTTATATTTATATCCAGAGTTTTAAATTGTAATTTTATCTTTTGAAAATGTAGTATGTTAACTAAAAAATATGTCAAGATTAAAAAATATCGTTTTTTTCTTTAAAATATGTTCACATTTATTGCTATTATGTTGCTTAAGAAATATGTATGTATATATATAAATATTTTTATTGTTATTTTTATTATTATTATTGTAATTTTTTTATTATTTTCAATGTATATCTAACATCTACATATAAATAAGCACCAAGTCAATATAAACAACATATATATATATATATATATATATATATATATATATATATATATATATATATATATATATATATATATATATGTGTGTATATTGTATATACTTTCATCTTCCTGTTGACAAATGTGCTTCTTATATAACTTTATGGATTCAGACTGGCATAATATCTTTTATTTCCTCCTGACGATTCCAGGTCAAGCCTTACTCTTCTCTATGGTTTTCCTCACATTGTACTGCTGCAATTTCCAATCAAAACTGTTACTTCATATCTATCAGCAAAACAATTCTCTAGAAAACAGATGCCTGTTTATTATTGCTAGAAACAATTATAAAAAAGTTTTGTCTAACGCCGAAGCCCGCTATTATCAGGTCATGAAATCTCGTATTTCATCAAAAAAATTTAACTCTCGTGACTTCTGGAGAATTTGTTTGCTAAGAACTTTTTATCAATACCACCTCTTCATTCTACCTGATACAACCATCAAACAGGTTTATCGATTGCTTGACATTCGTATCACTCCAGCTTCTGTATCAAAAGTGATTTCCTGCTTAGACTCTTTTACAGCTTGTGACTCAGACAAAATACCTGTTATAGTCTTGCAGAACTGTTCTCTGGAGCTGTGGTCTATACTTTCAAAACTATACAAAAAGTGCTTATTTTCCAGCCTGCTGGAAAGCAGCATCTGTTAACCCTATTTTCTAAAATTCTAGAGAGCGATCTGATTTGTCTAACTACCCTCCCATTAGTCTTCTTTCTATTTTAAGAAAGGTTGTTGAATCTTTATTTAACAAAACTTAATCTCTCATCTTGAATCTAATAATTTACTTTCTGATCATCGGATTTCAATCTTCTCATTCTATGGCTGAGTTGCTAACAGTAATAGCCAATAGGTTTTATTGTGCATTAGAAATGTGGAGAGGTTAAGGCTATCACTCTTGACATTTTTAAAGCTTTTGATAAAGTTTGGCATGCTGGTCTTCTCCATAAGCTTTCATCTTACGATGTATCTGGTAACATCTTTAAGATTACTGAATCCTTTCTTTCCAATTGTAATATAAAAGTTGTCCTCGATGGACAGCACACTTCTTTTTATTCTGTAACCTCAGGGGTTCCTCAAGGTTCAGTCCTTGGCCCTATAATTTACATTAACGATCTTCCAGATTATCTCACATCTAAGGTGGCATTGTTTGCTGATGATACTACCATCTATTCTTGTCTTGATAAGAAGCCAACACTCTGATTTCTTGGAGGGGGCATTTGATATTGAAAAGGATCCCACTTCTGCTACAGCATGGCCTCACAGTGGCTGGTGAACTTTAATTCAGATAAAACTATTGCAATAATTTAGACTTTCCTATATTTATGAACAGGAATGTTCTCAATGAGTCATCTACTCTTCATCTTTTAGGATTAACTCTTCCAATCTTTCTTGGAAACTATATATCAAATCCGTTGCAAAATTAGCATCTGCTAAGGTTGCATCTTTTTATCAAGCTCGACACTTTCTTACTCTGGATTCTATTCTCTATCTCTATAAATCTCAAAACCAGCCTTGTATGGAATACTGCTGCCATATCTGGGGCGGATTTTCTAATTTTGCCCTTTCTATTTTAGAGGTGTAAAATTGCATTGTAAACATAGTTGGACCTGCTCTTGCAGCCAACTTCCAACCATTATCTCATTGTCATAATGTTTTCCTCTTTCCTCTTTCTCCTTTCTACAAATACTATAATGGGCACTGCTCTAAAAAGTTAGCGTCTCTTGTACCATCTACTAAAAATCATTCTTGTGTTACTCATCATTCAATTAAGTCTCATTCTTTTTCTGCGACTGTTCCTCATTGCTCTAAAAATTCTTATTTGTCTATTGCTTTTGCTTGAACATCAGTTCTTTGGAACTTGCTTCCTTCATCTTGCTTTCCTGATTAATATAATTTGCAATCTTTTAAGTTGTCTGTCAGTTGTTATCTTGCTCTACAATCTTCATCTATTCTCTTCCAGTAACTTCCAACTCTAAATAGTGGTTGCTTCCAACTAGGAAGCGAAGGTTTAAACATCTTTGCATCCAACAAGGCTGCAATTCACCTCCATTTTACTTAAAAACTCAGGGTCTTTAAATTATATGTTCCAATCTACAGACTTGGGCGATTCCTTTAAAGCGCGTTTAATTCATAAAAGTTTTTGTATTTGACATCGCTGTAGACTTTTGACAACTGTAAATATTGAAGTATTTGTATTTGACACCGCTGTAGACTTTTGACAAATGAAACTCTGGAAAAAATTTTATTTACTTTTATTGATAATTTTTTTCATTATTTCTTTAATTATTTATTTTCTACCTTAAACATTTAAAAAGATAAAAATTAATATATTTTATACTGGTTTGTTGCTATAAAGTGTTATTGCGCTATATTTAATGTTAATAAATGATGAATATTTATTATCGCAATCAAGATTCTGATATAAAAAATTTTTTATATTAATTACCCGTATAAAATTAGTAACAGCATTTTTATTTGGTTAAACAATATTTCATCTGAATTTGCTTTGCATTTGTTTGCCTACCCATACTTTGAAGTACGGTAAGTCAAACGAAAAAACTTAGTTTGAATAATCATGTCAAAATATATTTAAAACAAATGATTTTAATGACGGGGGTACTAAAATCTTTTTATAACAAATGTTGGTAAAAAATAAATAACTAAATATAAAATTCAACATTAAACATCTTTTTTTTATTATATTGCAACTGTAAATATTGAAGTATTAACTTGAACTAAATTTACTTATTATTTAGAATGACTAAGCAATAAATAAAAAACCCCTAAAATTATGCGATATTGTGTTGTTTATTTAATTACTGTTGTTGTTTATGTTGATTATTTTCATGGATATCCCCATCGATATCCTGATAGTCCCAGATTGGACTGTTAATTGCTTTGCTTATTGTTAATTTATTTTAATTTAATTTTATCTCTAAGTTTAATTCTATGTTAAGAAAGAAAAGTTTTTATTTTATTGCGCACTCTTTTTATAAAAGAACAAAAGAGAAAAATTTCATGTAATTAAACTTTGAATGATTAAGAGTTGTATAGATTTTTTTTGTGTGTCACTCGTTCTTTTTTTAGATAAGCAAAATAAAAGTTTAATCGTAACTTTTCTTTGAATAAATTGGAATTGGAAGAGTAAAATGCTTGAAAACTTGTATTTGTGAATTTTGTTAGTTTTTTAATTTTCTATGTTAAGAGACAAATGCCAAATAAAACAAATAATTTGGGAAATACTAAATATAATGTTTTTTAATGCGCGTTACAACATTTTGATAATTTAAATTACCACCTATCTTGAATTATTGCCATTAATTAATGTGTTAATTATTGCGTTAATTAATAATAATTTGTCTGTATTTTTGTTAAATAATAATTGAATAAAAATATATGTACTTCATGTTTTTAATTTGATGGTTATAAAATATTGAACAATAAACTTATAATCAAAGTTTATGTCAACTTGTGCTGTTATTGGTTGACTTGTAATGCAAAACCAAAATCTCACAAATCCTTCCACGAATTTTCATATTTGAAACTACTGTCAACTGTATTGTTTAGTGTGTTCTTGTACTTTTTTTCATAACCTTAACAAGTTCTAATTAGTATGGATTTGCCGACA